TGCCTGTAGTCCCAGCTACCTGGGAGGCTGAGGCAGGAGGATGGCTTGAGCCCAGGAGTTTGAGGTTGCTGTGAGCTAGGCTGACGCCACGGTACTCTAGCCTGGGTGACAGAGAGAGACCCTGTCTCAACAAAAGAAAAATATATGATCAGCAAAATGAGATTTGATTTTTTATCTATCAAATTGGCACAAATTAAATATTTTTAATATCTGGTGTTAGTGACAGTGTGGGGAAAAGGACATTCTTATACATTGTTGGTTGGATTATAATTTAGTACAAATCTTTTGGAGGATAATTTGGCAGGACCTGTCAAATTTTAAATGGGCATACCCTTTACCCAGCTTCCACTTCCAGGAATCTATCTTACAGAAATACTCTTACAAAGACTATATCTACAAAGATGTTTACATAAAGTATTATTTGTAAGAGGAGAAAAAAGGGAAGACATATTAAATGTATATTAACAGGGAATAGTTAAATAAATATAGGATATCTATACTATGGTACACTATGGTGCATTAAGAAGAGTGAGGCAGATCTGTATGTACTGATATACAATGATCATGACATATTTCTGAGTGGAAAAAGTTACAGAACAAAGTGACTGGTATGATCTCATTTCAAAAACTATATGCTCATCCATACACATTTATGTGTGCAGACACATAGAAAAATGATCTGGAAGGATATATGCCAAATTATTTTAAGATGGTTACTCCTGGGGTGGGGAACCTTTACATTTTACATTTTTTGTAATGCTTGCATTATTTAAAATGGGCACGCATTGCTTCAGTAATTTTTTTAGGTTAATATACAGAAAAACTAAAACAAGGGGACTCTATGCTAACTATGTCAAGTAACATCACTGAATTATTTAATTGAAATCTAAACCTGGAATCTTCAGAAATGTTAATGTTCCCAGATTTGTATCTCTGAGGACCTGGCCTTTAAGTAAGTAGGTTTACAAAAACAACATACACTCATGATAAAAGCTCAAACAGCACAGAATATAAAAAGCAAAGTAAAACCCTCTCCATTCTGACCAGCAATCTATTTTCCCACTCAGCAGAGGCAACCAATATTAACAGCTTCTTATAGAGCCATCCAAATACTAAAAAGGCAAGTACTTAAAACACACAATTTTATATTCTTTTTCACTTTACCTTAGGTGTCCAAGGATAATATTTTTAGCAGCACTGATTACTACGTAGATCATCTGTTCTTATTGATGCAGCACATCACAAATGTTATGCTTAAATGCCCTACATCATAGCATTCAATACTGTGTTGCAGTGCTATTGAAGGTCAAATAACACAAAACATGTTGGAGAAAGCAACATAATTCAACCAGAAGAAAATAATTTATTTCCTCTCAAAAAATTTACAAGAAACTAAACCTTGGCAAGAATCTGGCTCAAAAGTTTAGCCCTTTTCATTTTATTCACACAGAATAATTTCTAAAGGAAATTAAAGGAAAAAAAGTTATTCCACCCGGCTTTACCCCATTGGGTGCATACTCACCACATTCTGCTTTGTTGTTTCCTCTAGAGTCTGTATCACATACAACCTATTTCGACAGCGCATAGTGTGTATATCTTCATAGCGAATATTACCATATTTCTGCAAGAAATACAATTTCAGTGGATACTCATCTATAATAAACATCCACTTCTCTTACAATTCAATTCATCAGACTCAATTCTTGGAGGCCTCAGTTCTATTTCTAGCTACTTTCCTGACTTGTTCAGTGATTTTGTGAATTTTCACCTCCTACATTACAGTTTTGATATATATTCACTGGAGATAATTCCATCTACTAAGTGTCTAGACTAAGTACAAGAACATTGGTAAAATTTTTAGTCTCTAAGAAGAGATTAATAAGAAGAGAAAATAATTCACCTTTCTACACAGTGAGAGATATTTAAAAGTGGTCATTATTTGTGAAAGCAAGTGAATTTAGTTTTATTTAATAAAAAGCAAATTGGGGCAGAGGAGGTTATATAACCTAGGATTAGTTCACAGAACTTCGTTTTTAAAGTGAAGTTGCATTTTAAATTGTATCTTTGTGTTATTATCTTACTCTTAATATACTACTAGAGATATAACTATGGTATCAGTCACTTTAAATATGCTATGTAATATATTTATGGTATAAAAATACTTACCTCATTTGACTCTCTAATCAAATCTGTAATATCCACTCTAATATGACTGCTTTTTTCATCACTCACATTTGAACCCTGCTGAACACTTGAAGGCAATGGGCTATCCTTATTAGTGACATTGTCAAAGAACCTATCCAAAGTGATAGTAATACAAGAATTAGTGGAACTAAAATTATTAAAGCAGAGAAAATGACAGTTAATTTCTCCCTAGTTAGTTAGAGGTTAATTTCAACTAAGAGGACAAGGGAAGGTCTTACCAAGAGGTGGAATTCGTAGATGGTTGGGAATTAGGAGGAAATGGGTGGGGGGAATGGGATGGTGAAGAAATCATTTTGGGGTGGGGGAGGAGAGCATGAGGAAGCAAACAGGCTCAGAGAGTACTCAGCATATACCACATAGCCCAGTAAGAATGGAATATAGGATATATAGAGGCACATAAGGGGAAATAAGTGAAGAAAGGTACATTGAGGACTTATCACAAGAGTTCTGAATGCCAGAGTGAGGCATGTGTATTTTATTCTGTACATAATGGGATTTGATGTAGCATTACAATAGTTGCCCATTCAAATATTCATTCAACACATACAAACATGTGCATACACATACACACACACAAAACACATGTGCTCCAATACAAAAGAGCATTCATACAAAAGCCACTAGGAAAATAAAGTTCCCCTACCCTGGGGAGGGGGGATAAAGTGGGGATAGTTAATAGGTACAAAAATACAGTTAGACAGAATGAACAATATTTGATAGCACAACAAAGTGACTATAGTCAACAATAAGTTATGGTATACTTTAAAATAACTAAAGAGCAGAATTGGAATGTTCCTAACACAAACAAATGATAAATGCTTGAGGTTGATGGATATTCCACTTACCCTAATTTGATTATTATACATTGTATGTCTGTATCAAAACATCACATGTGCCCCACAAATATATACAACTGTTATACACCCATAGTAATTAAAAATAAAAAAATTTTTTAAAAAAGAAAATAAAATTCAACTTCCCTGACTGAAACCAGAACAATTTCCCCCACTGGATATTTAACATTATCGACTACTTTTTCCTCCACTCAAATTACTTCTACACAGAGACGCTTTATAACTCAAATTGGTACTACGAAAGTCTCAGCATACTGAATCAACAATATTAGTGTAAATATGTAAATAACCTAATGGTTCACTTCAAAGTAATGATTTACTTTGGTTATATTCTATTTGGAGACAGAGGACTGGACTTTAGGCTTAGCTCTTTCATTCAACTAGCTTTGTGACCTTGGGCAAATTGAAGTTTCTAGGGCACAGTTTCCTCTGAAAAATAAGGGGACTGAACAACATAATTTCCCAGATCCTCTCCAGATTTAAGTGTTACGATTCTTACAATACCTGTTTAAAGTTGTCACAGCTTCAGCATCATCTTTACAAGTCAGCAGTTTGTCTAAATTATAGTCAAGTATTGCCAATCCCAGTTGCAAAATGGCCTTTATTCCATCATAGAAGAAACAGTCCACTACATTCACTGCACTTTCAATAGGCAGCACACTGATGAAAAGTGTGAGAAACCATGAGAGAGAAACTGAGGAAAAGAATGTCAAGTCAGTCATGTGTTCTGTCAGCTGAGGGAGGTGATCCCTGATAAGTTCTTCGAAGACTGCCTGATCCACCAAGGCACCTAGAGAATATCAAAAGAAGTTTAACAGTAAACATCTTTCAAAAGGACTTGTTTCCAATACCTCCCCACTTCTATTAGCATGCTGATATATCTCATCCATCTTCCTTAAATTATGAACTCCTTCAGTGCCTTTTCTATTTTTCATACATCCCTATGTCTGCTAGTAGAGTGTCACATATTTAGAAGGACTTGAGAAACACAATTCAAATTCATTTGAAGAGTTACTTATTGAGTCATTATTATATGCAGAGACCTGTAGTAGGTACTATAAGAGATACACCAATTAATAAAATGGTCTCACCTTCAAAGAATTTAATATCTCGAACTTAAGATAAACACAACAATGACAATAACGAATGACAGTACAATCAATGATCTAGCCACAGCACTGGAAGCTTATGAGGGTACAAAGGAGAGACTATCCATGAGTTTTAAGGTAACGGAGCACAGGCTTATAAATATTTGATGACTGAAGAAAATATTATACAATTAGAAAACTAAGAATTTGTCCTTTTTCCAAACCTTGCAAATATCTAAATAATTCATATAAATGTGGAGATTTTAAGCTGATTAAAATCTCCCTCCCATCAAGAAAACTATTAAAATTCCCTGGTAGCTCTAGAAACTTCAAATTACCATTGTTTCAGAGACTAAAACTTAAAATTTCCATTTTATTAAGAAACAGACTAGGTATTTTATTTTAAAAAGCAACATATTAAACAATCTTTCCAACTATACATCCAGTATAAAAAGCTCTTCTTTTGAGAATGTCAGTGAATATGACATTTTGATAGTGCCTGCATTGTGTATTATAACCTATTAGGTCATTAAATATGAAATGTCTGATTTCGAATCAAAAGTATAGTTTATTATATCTCAAACAAGAAGAAGTACAATTAATCAAAGTATGTGCCTATCAACACAGTTTTGCCATCTTAACGGTAGCTTGTTTATGCCAGCAGCTAAGGAGCCCGGAGAGCAAGCGGTGATGAAATAGCGAAAGGCATTTTCCACAGCTTGTTGAGAATTGAATATTTTTCCTTGTAAGAAGTGGTCCAAAGCCTAGAAGAAGTGGTAGTCAGTTGGTGCAAAGGTCTGGTGAGTATGGTGGATGACAGAGAGTTTTCAAGTCCAGCTTCTGGAGTTTGAGCAGCATTGTTTGTGTGACATGTGGTTGAGTGTTGTCTTGCAAGAGGATTGGCTTGTCTCTACTGACCAATCTCGACTTATTAATCGCAACCATCCTCATCATTTTTTCCAATTGGTTGCAGTAGACATCCACTGTAATCGACTGACCAGGTTTCATGAAGCTGTAGTGGATAATACCAGCGCTGGACCACCAAACAGACAAAATTAGCTTTTTTTGATGACTATTCGATTTTGGACTGTGTTTAGGCACTTCATCTTTATCCAACCATTGTGCTGAATGTTTGTGATTGTCAAAAATAATCCATTTTTCATCATATGTAACACTACGGTGTAGAAATGGTTCGCCTTTATGTCGTGATAGCAAAGAAAGGCAGGCTTCGAGACGACTTCTCTTCTTATGCTTGTTTAATTCATGTGGAACCCATCTATCCAACTTCTTTACCTTGCTGATTTGTTTCAAATGGTTCAATATTGTTGGAATAGTAACATCAAACCTTGCTGCTAATTCGCATGTAGGTTGAGATGGATTCGCTTCCACTACAACTTTCAGCTCATCATTACCCACTTTGGTCTCAGGTCGCCCACGTGGCTCATTTTCAAGATGAAAATCACCAGAATGGAACTTCTCAAACCATCATTAGCCACATCATTCCAAAACACTTCGTTGATATTTTGAGCTGTCTGTGCTGCATTAGTTCCACAATGGAACTCATATTTGAAAATAACACAAATTTTTTACTTATCCATGGTTTTACAAACATTGCTCTAAAAAAATTTGAAAGATAATCACAAGCTAAACTGTGTGTTTGCAATACTGGGGATGTATCTTCACGATAAAATTAAAATAAGAAGTGTCAAAGTGAAATGTCAGAGATATCAACTGTCAAACTTAGTACTTAAGGAAATCGGACATTTCATACTTAATAACCTAATCATCAGTTCTTCTATTTGATTAGTGATTGGATAGACAAGAAACACTGAAATTGTTTAGAAAAGAAATATGTATCTGTTTAAGAGTGTTTTTTGTTTGTTTACCAATGATTCGACGATTAAAATAATCAGGCAACATTCGTTCACATACAGCAACCAGAAGCCAAAAAGCTTCTTCTTCTTTTGCATACAGAAGCAGCATTGAAGTCAAAATGTTCATTGCCTAAAATTCATAGAAAAAATTTAAAAAGTAAATATTGATCAGGTAATAATTATACTTCTTCAAACATAGTAGTTTTCAACAGTAATAAGAACAACTGAGAATAATAAGTGTAAATAATAGTGGAAACATGAGAACTCTGAGCCAGTCCAAAGCAAAACGAGGTGAAGTCAGGCTAACATTTGATAATCAGTTATTTTATATAGTAACATTCAAGGAAAATGAAGCAGTAATATCATGAATATAGAACACAGTAAGTAAAATCTTTCTAATTTAGACTAATTTCAATGGGTCAAAAACCTTAATTATCACAAATCTGAGAAAAACCCATATAATTTTTAAGAACATACTAAAACTAGAGAAAACAAACTTCATCTGTATTTCCAACTACCCATAGAAAAATAGCCCTTAGATGTCAATCATTCTCAGTTATGTCCAAAACTAAACATTCATTCCCATATCAAGTAGAATTCTTACCTAATTTTGATCATGTTAGAAATCCTATTATCTGCTACATCCAATTTGTTTTCATATCCTAGAGTTTCTTCTTACAAAACATCTTTTAGATTTGCCTTTTTCTCTCTATTTCCACTACCACCCTAACTTTCTGCTTCTTCTATCTTGCATGCAAATGTCAGATCGCTACTTTTATATACATTGCCACATCCCTTATTGTAAAGATGATAAACTCTTAATGTATAGAATTTGGAGAGAATGGAAAGGTATGAAGAAGAAAAATCAAACCTCATGCACCCTACCTACCCAGAGATTGCCACTGCTAACAAGTTGATGAATTTTTCTGCAGTTTTTTCCTTCCTTTTCTCCTTTTAAAATTTGTATAAAATTGTATACTAAATATTTTTTTGACTTAACACAATATTAACGCTATATTGTACATATTTGATGCCATAAATATTCTTTTAAAACAGTATTTTTTTTTTGAGACAGTCTCACTGTGTTGCCTGGGTAAGAGTGCCGTGGCATCAGCCTAGCTCACAGCAAACTCAAACTCCTGGGATCAAGCGATCCTCCTGCCTCAGCCTCCCAGGTAGCTGGGACTACAGGCACGCGCCATCATGCCTGGCTAATTTTTTCTATTTTTAGTTGTTTGGCTAATTTCTTTCTATTTATAGTAGAGATGGGGTCTCACTCTTGCTCAGGCTGGTCTCAAACTCCTGAGCTCAAGCAATCTTCCTGCCTTGGCCTCCTAGAGTGCTAGGATTACAGGCGTGAGCCACCGTGCCCGGCCTTAAAAACAGTATTTTTAATAGTTGTAAAATAATCTAAGATGGACATAATATAAATTATTTAACCATTCTACTATTGCTAGGGACAGAAAAACAAGTGAGAGGTAATGGAAATCAGAAAAACAGAAAGGAGAAGGCAGTTATAGAAAAACAATAAGGAGGAAATGGTTGCAGAAAAATAAAAAAAAAAGGGAACAGTTATTTCAGTCTTAAAGAATGGGGTAATTAGGCCATGAAACACTGACCATCAGGGAATGAAAAAACACCGTAAACGGTTATGGAACTTTCCCCATCATACATATACTAGAAAGAATTACTGGAACATAACCTTTAAGTCGTGTCCAAACATAGAAAGAATCCAGTCCCCCAAACAGTGACGTATAGTTACGAATAGTTATAACTAATCTTTACCTAAACCTAACATATAAAAGGAAAAACACAGAAGTAGACAGTGTCTTCTCCACTTGCGGAGACAGACCATTTCCTCTCAGGAAATGTACTTTCGCTTTGCATGCTTAAACTTTCCTTATAATAAATTCTTCACGCATACTTGCTGAGTGTCTGTCACCTCTCTCCATTTCACGGGCCAAGGCTTGCCATTCCTCCAAGCCAGGACCCCAAGAACTGGGGAAACACTTCAAAGTCCAGCCGTGGACTCAACCATGACACTACTGTTGGACATTTAGGTTAATTCTAATTTTTTACTATTATATCAATATATAACACTGCAATGGATATCTTCGTATATAAATCTTCATCCAAATGTTATACTATTTTCTCAGGATAGATATCTAGACATGAAATTATTTGGTCAAAAGGGTATTTTTTTAAAGACTTGATATTATTGCCAAATTAAATTCTAGAAAGACAGTACCAATCTATATTTTGGACCAACAGTGTTTGAATGTTGATTTTTTTCTGTTTTCTTAACCCGATTCTGATGATTTTTAACAGAAAAAAATCATCAGAATCAATTTTTTTATAACTCTGGAAATTAACCAAGAGCTTACAGCAATTCAGGTAGCATTTATTTAAGAAAATGACTGACTCTCAGCAAGAACAGTGAGCTCTGTGGCATTTTAAATTGCCCTATTCCTATTCCCCCTCCCCAGTTTCAGGGGAACAACACCCAGTAATCATGGTGAAAACTAGTAACCTAGCAACCGCTGGAGGGAACAGAATGGGGTTGGAGTTCCTTCAAAGCCCCATTCCCAGAGAACTGTCATGATTTGACCTATCTGGTGATTCCCTGGAAGACTCCTCTCACAAGGCTGTCTTTATTTCACCTGACACAGAGCTCATCTAGTGTAAACAGCATTTTCCCCATGGGTGTTTGTTGAAAAAAGAGGCAGTTGTTGAACATGTGGCTATCTGAGTCGGTAGATAGCAGCTGCACCAAAGAATATGCTGACAAAGGGTTAAAAGAAAAGCTGGGGGTTTTGAAAAACCTTGACACATTCCTGGAAACCTAGAAGCCCATCTACATGCATACAGCTTTATGCATACTCATAGCTGTATGTATGCTTAGAAAAGGACAGAAAAGACCTAAGCCTTCACCTCTGGCTAATCTTGAGGCTCCACACAAGCAGAAAGTGACAGAGAATAGAAATAGAGAAAATCAACAAAACCAAAGTTTGGTTCTTTGAAAAGATTTTTTTTTTTAAAAAAAAAAGGACCAAAAACATTAAAACACCTTTAGGTAGCCTAACCAAAAAGATAAAAAAACCCAAAGAGAGCAAGAACCAGAGAGTGAGAGAAAAAGAGCATGTAAGAACAAGAGTTGAGAAGGAACTCAGATTATTACAATCAGGAAATAGAGAACATTACTACCAACCTTACAGAAACAAAAAGGATTATAAGGGAATATGATGAACAATTGTATGCCAACAAATTAGATAACCTAGATAAAATGCACAAGTTTCTAAAAAGCACAAATTACTGAGACTAACTCAAGAGGAAACAGAAAAATCTGGCTGGGTACAGTGGCTTGACACCTGTAATCCTAGCACTTTGGGAGGTTGAAGTGGGAGGATCGCTTGAGCCCAGTACTTCGAGGCTGAAGTGAGCTATGATCATGCCACTGCACTCCAGCCTGGGCAACAAAGCAAAACCTTGTCGCAAAAAAAAAAAAAAAAAAAAAATAGAACAATCTGAATAATTCTATAATAAGAGATTGAATTATTAGTATTTTAAAAACTTCCCACAAAGAAAACTCTAAGAACAGATAGTTTTTTATCCAAGACGGTAGAGGCTTTGTTAGTATGCCTCACCCACTTGGAGACAGCAAAATAGTGTGTAGAGATTCACACTGTGAACTTTTATCCAAGAAGGAACATGGGAGCTCAACAAAAAAAATGAAAGAAACTTCAGATACTTTGAAAAATACCGCGGGCAGCAGCCCACACTGCAGATTCAGCAGAAAATTGTGAGTCTGTCTTCGCAATACAGGTTTCCACTGGGGAGTTGGGCAATGAGGCCAGGGGGAACTCCTTGACCCTACGAAGCGCTGGATCTGACTTGGGGGGCAGTGGGGAGTCAGTAAGAAGGGGCGGCATCAGAAGTACTTTGCAATGTGCTCCCAGACCCTGCACCAATATAAGGAGGCCATTCTGATCCTAACTCATATGGGGCTGTGTAGAAATCTGCCGGCCAATACAGGCCGCAGTCGCTGGTTGGGAGAGGCTCCAAACTGAGATTTGCTACCCCCCACTCTAATCTTGAGTACAGGAGGAATCCTCATGGCCAGAACTGAGAAGTGTGGTGTGGGCTCATTCCTCAGGAGCTGGGCATCCCATCACTTCAAGGGACAGACTGGGAGGGGTGTGGCCTGGGAGCCAGGCTTTTTGTTCCTAGCAGGGAATTTTGCAACCTGGAGCAATTTCGCAACCTGAGCCCAGACTGCTGGGGACTTGGCTGACTATTTTAGCTTGCTGCCAGTGGCTGGTCATGACAAAAACAAAAATGCAATAAAAACAGACAAATGGGACTTAAACTGAAAAGCTTCTGCACAACAAAAGAAATAATCAACAGAGTGAACAGACAACCTACGCAACGGGAAAAAATACTTGCTAACTATGTATCCGTCAAAGAACTAATATCCAGAATCTACAAGGAACTCAAACAATTCTATAAAAAACGTCCCAAATAACTCCATTAAAAAGTGGGCAAATTATCTTCTGAAACTGTTTCATGAAAAAAGAAAATAAAAGTGGGCAAAGGACATGAACAGACATTTTTCAAAAGAAGATATACAAATGTCAAATAAACATATGACAAAATGCTCACCATCGCTAATCATCAGAGAAATGCAAATTGAAACCACAATGTGATACCATCTTACACCAGTCAGAATGGCTACTATTAAAAAGTAAAAAAATAACAGATGTTGGCACAGATGAGGAGAAAAAGGAATACTTATAAACTGGTGGTGGGAATGTAAATTTGTACACCTTCTATGGGAAATGGTATGGAGATTTCTCAAAGAACTAAATGTAGAACTACCATTCGATCCACCAATCCCACTACTGGGTATCTACGCAAAGGAAAATAAACCATTATATCAAAAAGACACCTGCACTCCTAAGTTTAATATAGCACAATTCACAATAGCAAAGATACGGAATCAATTTAAGTATCAATCAAGGGATGATTGGATAAAGAAAATGTGACACACATACACACACATATACACACCACGGAATGTATACCATAGAATACTACTTAGCCATAGAAAATAATGAAATCATGTATTTTGCAGCAACATGGATGGAACTGGAGGCCATTATCTTAAGCGAAATAACTCAGAAATAGAAAGTCAAATACCGCACGTTCTCACTTATAAGTGGGAGCTAAATAATGTGTACACATGGACACAGACAGTAGAATGACAGACATTGGAGACTCAGAAGGGTGGGAAGGTGGTAAGGGATGAGAAAGTATTTAATGGGTAGAATGTACACAATTCAGGTGATGGCTAAACTATAAGCCCAGACTTCACCACTATGCAATATACCCATGTTAACAAAACTGTACTTGCACTCCCTAAATCTATCAAAAAAAAAAAAAAGAAGAGAGAGAGAGAACAGATAGCTTCACTGGAAAATTCTACCAAACATTTAAACAAGAATTACCACTAATCCTTCATAAACTTTTCAAAAAAATGGGAGATGAGGAAGCACTACCCAATTTATTCTAAGAAATCCTGATACCTAAAATTAGACAAAGATATCACAAGAAAACTATATATCAATATATCTTATGAATATAAATATAAAAATACTAGCAAACTGAAGATCCCAAAAGACCATGCAGGATTTATTCTGGGAATGCAAAAGTGGTTCAACAAATGGAAATCAATCAATGTAATATACTATGTTATTAAAATAAAGGGGTAAATCACGATCATCTCAATGAACACAGAAAAATCATTTGACAAAATCCAACACTCTTTCATGATAAGAACACTCAACAAAACTAGGACTACAAGGGAACTTCCTCAACCTGATAAAGAGAGTCTACAACAACCCCACAGCTAACATTATATTAATACTTTACGGTGAAAGACTGATTGCTACCTCTAAGATAAGTAACAAGATAGGGATATGCATTCTCACTACCTCTATTCAACATTGTACTGAAGGTTCTAGCCAGGTCAATTAGGCAAAAAAAAAAAAAAGGGGGCGAAAAGGCATCTAGATTGGAATAGAAAAAGTAAAAGTAACACTATTCAGGTTCCATGATTTTGTATATAGACAAAACCCGAAGGAATCCACAAAAAATCTAGAATGAATATGCTCAGCAAGGTTACAGGATACGAGATCAATATACAAAAATATCAAATGTATTTCTATATACTGGCAACAAATGATTCAAAAATGAAATCAAGAAAACAATCCCATATATGATAATATCAGAAAGATTAAAATACTTAAAGGAAAGACATCCGTGCTCATGGAGTGGAAGACTTAATATTGTTTATATACAATACCCCCCAAGTTGATCTACAGATTCAATGCAATGACTATCAAAATCCCAGCTGGCATTTTTTCTTTTTTTTTTCAGAAATTGACAACCTGATCCTAAAATCCATATGGAAATGCAAGGGACCCAAAAGAGCCAAAACAATCTTCCAAAAGAAGAACAAAGTTAAAGGACTCATAGTTCCTGATTTCAAAACTTACTACACAGATACAGTAATCAAGATAGTGTGGTACTGGCATAAGGGTAGAAATATAAATCAATGGAATATATTTGAGTGTCCGGATATAAACCCTAACATTTATTGTCAATGATTTTCAGCAAGGGTGTCAAAGCACTTTTCACATGTACTGAGATGGCTGCAATCAAAAACAGACAATAGGAAGCATTGTTGTCGAGGATATGGAGAAATTGCAACATTCATACACTGCTGGTGGGAATGTGTAAAATGGTGCAGTCTCTTTGGAAAATAGCTTGGCAGTACCCCACATTGTTAAACATAGAGTTATCATATAACCCAGCAATTTCACTTTGAGGTATACATATATCTACAAAATCAAAACCAATGTCCACACAAAAACTTGTATACAAATATTCATAGCAGCATTATTCATAACAGCCAAAACATGAAAACAACTCAAATGCCTATCAGCTGTTGAACAGTTTAACAAAATGTGGTATATTCATACAATGGACTATTATTCAACCATAAGAAAAAATGAAGTACTGATACATGTTACTACATAGATGAACTTTGAAAGCAATATGCTAAGTGAAAGAAGGCAGATATAAAAGACCACATATTGTATCATTCCATTTAGATAAAATATCCATAATAGGCATATTCACAGAGACAGAAAGTAGATTAGTGATTGCTTGGGTTGGGCATAGGAGAAATGGGGAGTAACTGCTAACAAGTATAGGTCTTCTTTTTGGGGTAATGAAAATGTTCTGGAATTGGATAGCGGTGAAGGTTTGCCAACTTTGTGAATATACTAAAAACTACTAAAGGGGTGAAGTGTGTGGTGCATGAATTTTATCTCAACATAGATAGACAGATGATAGATAAAGACAGATAGACAGAAAAACAGGTAAGCAAGCTATCCAGCCACAATGTGTCTTTATGGCTCACATGGGTTTTTGATCGAAAGCAATAAAACTTGCTTACCATATTAAATTCAAATTCTTTTCCCAGGCTTTATAAAAAATTCTCCATGATTTTGTCCCACACACTTATTTATTTATTTTTTGATTCCATTGGGAACCTAGCCAGTCTTATCTCCAAGGCAGGCTTATTCTCACTTGAATGGTATCGTTCATAGTTACCTTAACTCGGAATAACTTTGCTACTGCCCTCCATGTTTCTAACTTTGCTCTCATCTTTAGAAGTCAAAATCAAGTCAAATTCAAGTACTTTGAAACTATCTTTAAACTACTGTATATATAATAGATAACATCATAGGCTCTCTGAAGGTAAGCTCCTTGAGAAAAGATGCATTATGATTCTTTTGTACCTTTCAGAAACTCTAACATATGCTAAAAATACTTGCAATTTAAATGCTCCACTCATTTATATTGTTTTTCAAAAAAATCTCTAGTGATAAGTTTCAATGGATAGATAGTATTGATATGTAATCATTATGGATGCTCAACCCGTTATAAATGAATGTATGATACAGAGTGCTATCTATCCACCGTAATCCAATCTCCCCTTCTTCTATAATAGCTGCACATATGTCTGCTCAGCCACACTACATTTCACAGACTTCCTTGTGAACATGTATATCCACATGACTAAGATCTTCCAATAGAATGTGGCTGAAGTGATGTGTGCTCTTGTCAGGCCTTGTCCATAAAATCTTCCATAATTGTTTCTCCACGCTCTCTCCCTGTTCCTGTGAGTGCTAGTGGCAATGAAAATGTACCTTGGAAGCCTTGTTTTGAAGATAACAAAGTCTGCTGTTAGCCTACAGCCTAAGTCCCTGACTAATTTCATAGAGAAGAGCTGTTTACCAACCTGAACACTAACTCTCCTCTGTTTGTTCCTTTAAGAAACGGACTTCTATTGTGTTTCAGCTATTATCTATTTGTGTTTGTGTTAGCAGTCTAGCCCACCCTACTTAATACGCTGTGCTCCTAAAAATTTTTTTCCCAATGATTCCTCCACTGCTTCACTGCCTACAGAATAAAATTCAAATTCCTGACCTATCCCAATCTACTTTATTGATTTTTTTCTCCAACTACTTTGCTTCATTCACCCTACACTTCTACTCAACTAAACAGAGCATGGTACTATATACGTTCTACATTTACTTCTATCTGTGCTGGGTTACACTGATCCCTTCTCCTAGAATTCTCTTATTTATTTATTTATTTTTATGTAAAATGCTCTCAGCGTTTGCTCCCAAAGATGTTTCTCTGTCAAACACTTTCATTCATTGAAAGAAAACAGCTTATGATGCATCTTTAAGAAAGCATGCTTACATTAAGAAACATGTTATAATAACATATTCTCAGTGTTTGCTTCCAAAGGGGTTTCTCTGTTGAACACTTCCATTCATTGAAAGAAAACAGCTTATGATGCATCTTTAAGAAAGCATGCTTACGTTTGCCTTTTAAAGCTGGATATGTAAACTTGTCATAATAAGTACCAATGCAGAAAGAAACATGTAATAACATGGTCTCAACATTTGCTTCCAAAGGTGTTTCTCTGTCAAACACTTACATTCACTGAAAGAAAACAGCTTATGATGCATCTTTAAGAAAGCATGCCTACATTTGCCTTTTAAAGCTGGATATGCAAACTTGTCATAAGTACCAATGTAGAAAGAAACAATATTTGCTTAAAAAATATTTCCTTCCATCTTCATATGTCCAAAATTCACCAATTTTTAAAACCTGCAAGTGCTACCTCTTCCACGAAGCCTTCTCTAATACCCCCAGATGAAAATAATTTCTCTTTATTATAATCTTGACAGGACTTATATTTCTCTAAGTTTATCTCACTTGTTTTTCAGTTTCCCAATGAATATGCTTTAATACCTACTAGTCTCTATACTTTTAAGGTCAGGATCCTTATCTGATATATCTTTATATAGCCTTAAGTACCTAGAATAGTATATTTTACAAGCAGGAATTCAATAAACATTTGTTAAATGAAAAAGAAAAATAAAGTAATGAAATATCAAGTCTCCTAAGTATTCCCACTATCATCCTACTTACATTAATACAATTTGTTATTAACCTCACCCCAACCTCTGTCCTGGTTACAATTTCCAAATTAGTAGAGTTAAATTTGATGTGATTTTTATCATTTGGAACATGCACACAATTGGGCTCATAGTGAAGTCATACCTGGCAGTATCCAATTTTGGGATTCCTGTATGCATAAGCAGTAAGTACCCGCCTCAGAGCAGATATACCAGTGTCACTTTGAAAGGCTGGGTGCTCAGGCAGGGAGCGACGCAAATCACGTTCAATTTCTTCAGTAGCCAAGTTGGAGGTCCCTAAGGACTTCTCAACCACTTCAGCATAATAGCCAGGATTAGTAGCCATGTCATTAACAGCACCTGTGAAGATGGTGGCATTAACATACAACAGAAGAGGAATATATTAATAATACAGCTACTATTTACATATATAAATGAAGAATTGGATTTCATTACCTTGAAATTTAGCTTTATGCTCAAGTGATATCTGAGCACAAAAGAATAAACTTGGTAATGAGATGGGGGCAAAAAACATATAAAGAAAAGAAAAGAGCTTTACACTAGAATCTGTAACATCAAGGTACTGATCTTATCCAACAGAATAACATTTTCATGAGCTGTTCTCCCCCTCAACTTTCCTTTGACACTAGAGATAGAGATTTTCCCCACATCACACATATCTTGCCTAATAAACTAATCTTCTCAGATACTGGATGTATGGATATATAGATAAGTACACATAATTACTTACCTCTCTCTTTGACTAGTCTGAACTCAAGATGAGTAAGACTTTGTCCTAGCCATTTTTGTAATTCTTTGACGTTAGCTTAGTGTATAACTCCTAGAAAAGGCATAGTTAATGTCTGTTAAATGAATAAAGTGAATAAATGTAATACCTGAAAAAAGCATCCAGAGCTCTCCTCTTAAGGTCTCTGGAATCCCTCTTACAACCAGATCTCGAGTTCTTTTGGTCCGAAACATGCTAACACCACGCCCACATTCTGCAAATAGGATGTTCCATGACTGTTCCTTCATCTTTTCTTTCAACTGTAACAGAAAAATCAAAGCAACTAAACCTGGTGAGAAATTAACTTCTTTAAAATAACTTGCCTACCCTCTTTACCCTGAAAGCAACATCTATGGAAATCAAGAACATAGAAAATAAAAATCAATATTCACACAGGGGTGAAACACTGGACCCTTGCCATCACAAAAATCTCTTAAACCCATGTGAGCATAATAGCTTTAATTTACTATTATAATTCTTAGTTCAACTCATATAAAAATGGTAAAAGCATTATACTTAGGTTGTAAAGCTTTAAACCATCATTCTCCCCAAATCGCCTCTATTTCAGGACAGATTATTAGAAATCCATGGAAATAAAACCCAATGTCAATAAATATGTACAACTATTATGTATCCATAAAAAAACCCGATGTCTAACTTTTACATTTTATCTTCATTCTTGATAACAGTCCTTGTGTGTAGTGGAACCAATAAGTCACACATTGGTACTTGTTGGAAAACCTTTTCAAGTCTCAAAAGAAGAGTTTCCAGTTGTGGGACCTTCTAGTCTACTTTAAGACTTTTATTTTTCATCACCAGTTTCAGTCCACAGATTTAAATATTTTGTTTTCCTACCATTTTAGAATTAAGATTCTCCAAATTCTGAGGGTGAAATACTGTCATTAAGGCTTCGGTGTTCACAGTTTTACTGCATTCTCTCTGACATGTCAAAGATTGTACCTCAAAATGATCAGATGGTCCTGTAGAGTCAGAACTAATAGCAGGCTGAAAAAGAAAGAATGCAATTATCCCAAATGCATGCTTAAAAGTTTCTGCAAGAAACAAAGTGCTAATGTTTTATCTGTCGTTTATAAACCACAACATATATACATATCAAATATTAAAGCCATGTCTCAGAGAGACATTGTTTTCCTACCAAAATTAGAGATATCAACAAACTGACTTCTAAAATGGCAAACTCAGAATCTCCATGAATACACTCCCCAACAAAAACAACAAAATACTGGCAAAACATTCAAAATAAACCATTTCAGAATACTGAAGTTAACCAAAGGCACAGAACAAACTGTAAAGCATCTATTCAAGAAAAACTAATGAATCTCAGTAAGAAGAGCAGAGTCTGTGGGGTTTCAGCTTGAGACTATTCCCATCCTACCACCCTCCCTCCCAAGCTCAGAAGTGTAGTAGCCATGAAAGCCAGCAGTATGACAGCCAGTGTATCTTTTGGAGCTTCATTAAAAGCCCTATTTCCAGAGCATAGTCAATACTTTGACCAAACTAGCAACTCCCTGGAAAACGCTGTTCCCAGGGTGTCATTATTATTTGATTTGATTCACGGCTCAACTTGGTGAAAAAAAGCTCTGTTCCCAGGTCATTATAGGAAATAGCAATCTGCTGGTAACATCACAACTGCCTAAAGCTGTGATTTTAGCCTGGGCAAACAAGAGTCCAGCTAAAAGTTTAAAACAAAGACCTGGAAAACCAGAAGACCATATGGAACTTTGAAAGGCTCCAACATATTATTGGGAATCTAGAAGTATGCACACAGGTGCAAAGCTGTGAGCATGACCAGGAAAGAAATAGGAAAGAAGACCCCAGTCACTCAACTCTGGCTGTCTCTGAAAGAAGGAAATGAAAGCTAAGGCTGATTTATAAATTGCTTGAAGTTTGAGGTATACCTTCATGCAAAGATTCCCTTGGAAAAAAGATGGAAGACTTAATGGCATAAGGCATTTAAGGAAATCTTTTGAACCATCATTGAATAACCACTAAATTATACTGACTCGGGGGTGATCCAAGTAAGCCAGCCTTAAAAATAAAAACAAGAACTTAAAAACAAAAGCAACTAACAGAAAATGTCCCTGAAGGGGCCCAGTTGTCAGATTTCATAAACAAGAACATAAAGCAGCTATTATAAATGTACTACTCAAAGAAATAAAGGAAACTATGTTTAAAAAAATAAAGGACCCAATAAAAAGTGGGCAAAAGATCTAAACAGACACCTCACCAAAGAAGATACAAATGGCAAATAATCATATGAAAGATGGTCAACATATGTCATTAGGTAATTGCAAATTTAAACATTGCACACCTATTAAAATGGCTAAAACCCAAAATATTGACAACACTAAGTGCTCAAGAGGATATGAAGCAACAAATCTCGTTCATTGCTGATGGGAATGCAAAATGGTACAGCCACTTTGGAAGATGGTTTGGCAGTTTCTTACAAAGCTTAAACATAGTCTTACCATATGATCCAGCCATTGTGCTCCTAGGTATATATGCAAATGAGTTGAAAACTTGTAGGTCCACACAAAAATTTTCACATGAATGTTTGTAGAAGCTTTGTTCATTAATTGCCAAAAATTGAAAGCAACCAAAGTGTCCTTCACTAGGTGAATGGATAAACACTGTGGTACATCTAGGCAGTGGAATATTTTTCAGCAATTAAAAAGAAATGAGCTATCAAACCACAAAAGACATGGAAGAACCTTAAATGCATATTGCTAAGTGAAAGAAGTGACTGCGAAATGAATACAGATGGTATTACAACTATATAACATTCTAGAAAAGGCAAAATTATAGATAGTAAAAATATCAGTGGTTGTCAGGGGTGGGGGGGAGGCATGAACGAGTGGAGGATGGGGGATTTGTAGGGCAGGGAAACTATTCTGAATGATACTATAATGATGGATATATGATATTATGCATTTGGAAAAACCCACAGAACTATACATGACAAAGAATGAAACCTAATGTAAACTTTGGACTTTAGTTAATAATAATAATGTATTAATATCATCTCATCAATCATAACAAATGTATCACATCAATGTAAGATGTTAGTAACAGAGGAAACTGTGGGCAGGGTAGAGGGTGGGTGGGAGTATATGGGAACTTTCTGTATTTTCTGTTTAATTTTTCTATAAACCTAACTGCTCTAAAAATAAAGTCTATTAAATGAAGAAAGGAAAGTATGGTAACTACATCCCATCAAATACAGAATATAGATAAAGAGATAGAAATTACTTTAAACAAATAGAAATTCTGGAACTAAAGATGGAGGACTAGAAGCAGCCTCCACACACTGCTTTCATGGAGAGGATTGAAAGTGGTGAGTAGATACTCACCTTCATCATCCTGTCTAAGAGAGAGTGTTGGGAATCAACAGAGAGGCAACAGGAGGCACCCAAAGTGAAGGACAGGGAAGCAGGATAACCCACTCAGTGGGATCAGAGGTATCCTGGAAAGGTGCCTGCACAGGGGGAAGGGACAGAGGAGAGATCCCTGGGGCTCCACGTTTTCCCCATGAACACTGCAATCTGAGATGTGGGAGGACCCCTCCACCACAGCATCCCTCTGGAATGAAACAGAGAACTACCTGGAGACTGTACAGCGGCATTACTCTAGAGAGAAGGCACAGTGGGGTTCCACTGACTTCCAATCCCTGCATGCTGCAGATGGCACCATTCTGAGGTCACAGCCCCAGAGTACTGCATTTACCCGGGGGCCAGCTCCATTACTGCCACATCCCCATTACTCCTGCTGGGCTGAGGAGGGAGTGGGGAGGCCAGGAGCTCTCACATGCCCTGTGGGTGGGTGCCACGTGCCCCTGCCATCACCAGGGAACCCGAGCAGAGCAAAGCAAAGCAAGCACCCACAGACCCAGCGCCTGTTGCCTCCACCTAAGTAGCCCTAAATATATATGCAGCTACCACAGGAGCTCCCAGATTCATAAACTGAATTCTACTAGATCTAAGAAAAGAAATAAACACAGACATCATAACACCCGGGAACTTCAACACTCCACTGACAGAACTAGACAGGTCATCAAGGCAGAAAATCAACAAAGACATGCCGGACTTAAATGGGACTCCAGAACAAATGGACCTAACAGACATTTATAGAACACTCTACCCCAAAACTGTAGGATATATTAAATATATTCTTCTCATCAGCACATGGGACATTTTTTTTTTTTTTTTGAGACAGAGTCTCACTCTTTTGCCCGGGCTAGAGTGAGTGCCATGGCGTCAGCCTCGCTCACAGCAACCTCAAACTCCTGGGTTCAAGCAATCCTTCTGCCTCAGCCTCCTGAGTAGCTGGGACTACAGGCATGTGCCACCATGCCCGGCTAGTTTTTTCTATATATTTTTAGTTGGCCGATTAATTTATTTTCTATTTTATTTTTAGTAGAGACGGGGTCTCGCTCTTGCTCAGGCTGGTTTCGAACTCCTGAGCTCAAACAATCCACCCGCCTCGGCCTCCCAGAGAGCTAGGATTACAGGCGTGAGCCACCGCACCTGGCCCACATGGGACATTTTTAAGACAGATCATGTTAGGCCACAAAACAAGTCTCAGCAAATTTAGAAAAAACTGAAATCATACCATGTATCTTCTCAGACCACAGTGGAATAAAACCAGAAATCAATTCCAAGAGGAACTCTCAAAACTATACAAATACATGGAAATTAAACAACCTGCTATTGAACAATCCTTGGATCAATGATGATATCAAGATGGAAATCAAAATTCTTCAAACTGAATGACAAAAGGGACATATGCTACCCAAATCTCTGGGACATAGAAAAAGCAGTGCTAAGAAGGAAGTTCATTGCCTTTAACAACTACATCAAAAAGACAGAAAGGTCACAAATTAACAACCTAATGTCACACCTTAAGGAACTACAGAAAGAAGAACAAATGAAACCCAAAGCTAGCAGAAGAACAGAAATGACAAAGATCAGAACAGAACTAAATTAAATGGAAATCAAAAAAGCAATACAAAGGATCAATGAAACAAAAAGTAGGTTCTTTGAAAAGACAAAATCAATAGACCAGTAGCTAGATTTACCAAAAATAGAAGAGAAAGGATTCAAATAATCTCAATCAGAAATGAAAAAGGAGACATTACAACTGATGCCACAGAAATATAAAACATTATCTGTGACTGCTATGAAAATGTCTACGCACACAAACTAGAAAATCTAGAGGAAATGGATACATTTTTGGAAACACACAACCTCCCAAGCTTGAAGAAAGAGAAACCCTGAACAGACCAATAACTAGTAGCAAGATTGAAACAGTAATAAAAACTCTCCCAGCAAAAAGAAGCCCAATACCAAATGGATTCACAGCCGAATTCCACCAGACCTACAAAGAAGAATAGAACCTATCCTGCTGAAACTGTTCCATAACATTGAGAAGGAGGGAATCCTCCCTAACTCTTTCTACTAAGCCAGTATCACATTGATGCCAAAGCCAAGAAAGGATACAACAACAAAAAAGAAAACTATAGACCAAGATCTCTCATGGACATAGATGCAAAAATCTTCAACAAAATACAAAATCCATTAGCACATCAAAAAGATAATTCACCATGATCAAGTGAATTTCATCCCAGGGATACAGAAGTGTTTGACATATGCAAATAAATAAATGTGATTCATCACATAAGCAGAATTAAAAACAAAAGCCATATGATCATCTCGATAGATGCAGAAGAAAAGCACTTGATAAAATCTAGCACCCTTTCATGATAAACACCCTCAACAAACTAGGAATAGAAGGAACATACCTCAAAGTAACAGAAGTCACATATGACAAACTTTCAGCCAACATCATACAGATGGAGAAAAGTTGAAAGCATTCCTCCTAAGAACTAGAACAAGGATGCCCACCGTCACCACCTCTATTCAACATAGTACTGAAGTCCTAGCCAGAGCAATCAGGCAAGAGAAAGAAATAAAGGGTATCCAAATTGGGAAAGAGGAAGTCAAACTATCCCTGTTTGCTAATGATATGATCTTGCATCTAGAAAACCCTAAAGACTCCACCCAAAGACTCCTAGAATTAATAAATTCAGTAAAGTCTCAGGTTACAAAATTAATGCACACAAATCAGTAGCATTTCTATGCACTAATAACAGTCAAGCTGAGAGTCAAATCGAGAACTCAATACCATTTACAATAGCTATAAAGAAAATAAAATACGTAGGAATATACATAATCAAGGAGGTAAAACATCTCTACAAGGAGAACTATAAAACACTGATGGAAGAAATCATAGATGACACAAACGAAAAAACATCCCATGCTCATGGATTGGAAGAATCAATATTGTTAAAATGTCCATACTATCCAAAGTGATTTACAGATTCAATGCCATTCCCATCAAAATATGAGCATCCTTTTTCACAGATCTAGAAAAAACAATCCTAAACTTCATATGGAACCACAAAAGAGCCTGAATAGCCAAAGCAATCCTAAGCAAAAAGAACAGCACTGGAAGCATCACATTACCTGATTTCAAATTATACTATAAGGCTATAGTAACCAAAACAGCAATGGTACTGGTACAAAGGTAGACACATAGACAAATGTAACAGAAAAGAGAACCCAGAAATAAAGCCATATAGCTACAACCAATTGATTTTTGACAAAGCAGGCAGAAACATATATACACTGGAGTAAGGATGCCCTATTCGATAAATGGTGCTGGGAAAATTGGATAGCCATACACAGAAGAATGAAACTGTATCCCTATCTCTCACCATATACAAAATTAACTCAACATGGATTAAAGACTTAAATGTAAGACCTGAAACCATAAAAATTTTAGAAGAAAACAGGCCGGGCGTGGTGGCTCACGCCCGTAATCCTAGTACTCTGGGAGGCTGAGGTGGGAAGATTGCTTGAGCTCAGGAATTCGAGACCAGCCTGAGCAAGAGCAAGACCCTGTCTCTACTAAAAAATAGAAAAAATTAACCAGGCAACTAAAAAAATAGAAACAAAAAACTAGCTGGGCGTGGTGGTACGTGTCTGTAGTCCCAGCTACTTGGGAGGCTGAGGCAGGAGGATTGCTTGAGCCCAGGAGTTTGAGGTTGCTGTGAGCTAGACTGATGCCACGGCACTCACTGTACCCTGGGCGACAGAGTGAGACTCTGTCTCAAAAAAAAAAAAAATTCTAGAAGAAAATATAGGAAAAATCTTTTTGGACATTGGCCTAGGCAAAGAATTTATGACTAAGACGCCAAAAGCAAATACAGCAACAAGAAAATAAATATAACTTAATTAAACTAAAAAGTTTCTACACAGCAAAGGAAATGATCAACAGAGTACATAGACAACCTACAGAATAAGAGAAAATATTTGAAAACTATACATCTGACAAGGGCTAATACCAGAATTTATAAAAAACTCAATGAGCAAGAAAATAATAACCCCATCAAAAAGTGGGCAAAAAATATGAACAGATTTTTTTCAAAAGAAAATAGACAAATGCCAACATATGAAAATATGCTCAACATCACTAATCATCAGGGAAATGCAAATTAAAACCACAATGAGACATCACTTTACCCTTGTCAGAATGGCCATTATTATTATAAAAAGTCAAAAAGCAATAGATGTTGGCATAGATGCAGTGAAAAAGGAATACTTATACAGTGTTGGTGGGAATGTAAAGTAGTACAACCAATATGAAAAACTGTAGGGAGATTCCTCAAAGAACTAAAAGTAGACCTACCATTTGATCCGGCAATCCTACTACTACTGGGTATCTACCCAAAGGAAAGGAAGTCGTTTTATAAAAAAGATATCTGCACTCAAATGTTTATAGTGGCACAATTCACAATTGCAAAGATATGGAATCAACCTAAGTGCCTATCAACTGATGAGCACTTGGATTAAAAAAAAATGTGAGGGCCGGGCGCGATGGCTCTCGCCTGCAATTCTAGCACTCTGGGAAGCTGAGGCAGGAGGATCACTTGAGGTCACGAGTTTGAGACCAACCTGAGCAAAAGCAAGACCCTGTCTCTACTAAAAATAGAAAAAATTAGCCAGGCATGGTGGTGTGCCTGTAGTCCCCACTACCTGGGAGGCTGAGGCAGGAAGATCACTTGAGCCCAGAAGTTTGAGATTGCTGTGAGGTAGGCTGACGCCATGGCACTCTAGCCCGGGTGACAGAGCGAGGCTCTATCTCAAAAAAAAATAAAAAGTGGTGTATATAAACCATGGGGTACTGAGCCATAAAAAGGAACGAACTAATGTCTTTTGTAGCGACTTGGATGGAACTGGAGACCATTATCCTAAGTGAAATATCTCAGGAATGGAAGAACAAATATTACATGTTCTCACTTATAAATCGGAGCTAAATGAGGGATACATATGGTCATAAAGTGGTGTAATGGACACTGGAAACTAAGAAGGGGGAGAGTGGTGGGGTGACGGATAAAAATCCACCTATCATATATAATGTACATTACTCCGGTGATGGGTACACTAAAAGCCCTGACTCCAGTATTATACAATTCATCCATGTAACAAAAAACACTTGTACTCCCTAAATCTATTGAAATAAAAAAAATAAAGGCATCAAGTAACAGATCTGCAGTAGCACTTTCCGTTGTTAGGCCACTTTGCTTAAAACTAAGCTAAAAAGGCCCATTTTTTCTTTCATTTAGTTTTTTGAAAAATTACCATATCTAGTAATATTTCTTGATTATATGTGTCAATAAAAGTAAAAGATTAATGTGTTTTCCAGGCAGTTGATCAGAATTTTACAAAACCTGTTCATGTACCCAGGTTTTAGTATAACTTAATATATACCTATTTTAAAAATCAGAACTGGTACTCATGCATAAGCACAATTACTTCGGGGAGTATTTGTTATTTGTATCACATTTTTTAATATACTCACAGGAAGAATTTCCTAAAATCCTTCCTGTATTCATTCATATTTAGACTTGTTGATTTACTCTGAGATTCAGATTAAAAAGTCTTGTTTTATGCAAAATTCACCAGGTTTTTAACAATTACAAATGCAGTTGTTCTCTTTGTTTCAGTATAACAGGTGTAGCTATAAAATATAGCTACAATTTCTGTTATTTAGAAATCAAATAGAACTAGCTCTTGTTTAAAAAGCTTTCTTTACTAATTTTTAAAATGTACTATTATTTAAAGCTAGATATATACAGATAAGAATATCTTATCAATATTCTTCATCACTGATAAGATAAAAATCTTAAGTGAAAATAGAACATTATGACAGTTTTTAAAAAATACATTTCCAAGCAAACCAGTATGCTGACTGGTATTTTGTACATATCTTTATTAAAAACCCTAAAAATGGGTAACAGATCCCAGAAAACCTTAGAACTCTGACATGTATCTGGAAAGACGGTAAATTCATTTTGACACAAAATCCTTTCTTGACAACTGAGCATACTCAAACTACTAGAGGTACATGCTAGCTGTCCAAGGTTTTAGAGAGGCAGATAAAGGAAAAAGGAAGATAAGTAAAGCATTAAAACTAACACAGAGACTGAATTTGAAATGGAATAGGGCAAGGAAAAGACTGATACATGCAAAAACACGTGAGCACTGGGAGAGAAACTACCAAGACTGGTCAGATTTTATTTGGTCCTCATAACAAACTAAGGAATATCCTGGGTACATACTAAAAGAGAGTGAGAGAGAATAAAGTTGGGGCAAGAAGAATTCTTGATGGGCAATGTGAATATTCTGTATCTGGAAATGAGATGAAAAAATTTTTTTAGTTCCATGTTTTCATTGTGCTTTTTTATTATCAAAGGGAAAATTGGTCTTATTAATACTGTATTATAATAGACTTAGCATATTATTTTTAGTCTCTGCTTTGGAGAGAGAGGTAAAAGGCTCTATACTCCAAACCAAATAAAATAATACAGCCAGTAAAGCCAACGTTGATTTTTTTCTTTGATTTTTTAACTAAAATATAAATATTAATAGTTATAATTTGATAAGTTTTATCTATTAAAACATGAGGTTCTTGGACATTGAAGAAGAAACTTCGTATGAATTCTATCTGTCTACATTTACATGGAAGACATACTAAACATCAAAATCAGGCTCTTAACTATCCTTTGCCAAGAATATTTTCCCTCTCTAATATTTTGTTAGTAAAAAGATATGCTACTATTTTGCTTTGGGCTAGATTATATTATATAAATAAGGCTGACCTATAAGAGATTAAATAAAAGATTCAGACTGGTTCAAAATTGCTATCTCTCTGCAACAATAAGAGGATAGTCCTTTTTCAAGGCCTTGTTGAATTCTCAAATATAGTTTGACTTGTTAAAAGCCAAGGTATGTGAAAGTACAAGGTATGTTTATATGATAAACAGCAAATATAGTAAAAAAGAAATCAAGTTATAATCTTTTTTTAAAAGTATGAGTTTCTAAAAAAGGATAAAGTCCTTAATTCTCACTTCTGCTTTATGATACAATTTAGAGAATATAATCTCTTGGATTCAGTCTTTTTAAAAAATAAACCTAGGTATAAATAGAAAAAGGTACTATGAATTTCTTTTGAAAGGAAAGACAACACTAAACACAAACCTTTTTTTTCAAAATGATTTGATGGCTGTATAATTACCTCTGTGCTAATATCATGATATTGAGTTGAAGCTGCCCCGCACTTGAGCCTGAGTTTTGCCGCCAGTTGCTCAAAGTCTTTAACTTCACTGAAGCGAAAAGCTGTTTTTCCTTTGATGCTAATGATGACAGATTTGCTGGAATCATTTGTCTTATCTATAGCTAAGACCTGAAGGGTAAAAAAATATATAAATGAATCATATTTTCCCTTATTGTTGATACTTTCAGGTAAAATGTGTTTGGCTTACTCTTATGTGGCTAAAAGTTTTAGTCCATGGTATGACTTATTAAGAAATAGACTTTGGTCATGTGCAGTGGCTCACGTCTGTAATCCTAGCACTTTGGAAGACCGAGGTGGGAGGATCACTTGAGGCCAGGAGTTACAGACTAGCGTGAGCAACATATTGAGACCCCATCTCTACAAAAAATATAAAAAATTAGCCAGGTATGGTGGCACCTTCCTGTAGTCCCAGCTACTTGGGAGGCTGAGACAGGAGGATTGCTTAAGCCCAGGAGTTTGAGGTTTCAGTGAGTAATGATGATGCCATTGCACATTGCACTCTGATGCCTGGGCAACAGAGCAAGACCCTGTCTCAAAAAAAAAAAAAAGAAATAGACTTTATGTACTAGTTGCAACAAAGATATAAGTAACCTCGGTGCACGTTATTTCACTTCTCAAGGAAAAGGTTTAACTAACACCTTTAAAAATGACAATACAAATGTAAGAATTCTATAATAAATACTGACAATTTATTTCTGACTTACACAAAAGCTATCAATTCTATTTTTTCTGACCAAGTACATCAAATATGAGAGTCTAAGTTTTGGTATTCATGTCATAAATATCTGAAGGATAAAGCTCTATTCTGAATCATTCTAAGCCCTTATCTTGTTTTTAAATTTTTAATTTTTAAAAATTTTCACTTTCAGTAACAGCTGTAAGGCTTCACTAAAAGAAACAGAGAATTTCTCAGAAGCTAGTACTCTGACCCTGAAGAATAATATTGAACTTAAAAAATGATTATTTTAAATTACTAAGGGGATACTGCATGTTAAGTTTTTAATAATTTATAGAATTAAAGGACATTTTACTCCGTGAAAAACATTTTCCAACCAAAAATTGATATGTAACCAAATTTTTATTACCTCTC